GAACTTCACAGTTACGTCTTGACGCTTTTGGGTGATGTTTATTACCTTTTTCAGTTGATGACAAGTTCTGACTTTATTATCCTTGTGAACAAGAGAATCTGGAAGTCATTTTGAAAGGGGACAGTTGTTTATGGATGTTCCTGAAGAGTGTTTCTTGGAAGCAGAAGCATAAGAATTTTTTTGTTTCGAGAAGTAATGGCAAAACAGAACTATTATTTTAAAAATAAATCTTCAAATAAAATACTGGTAGATTATGGGAAATACTAGAGTTTGTATTAGTCTGTTGTTAAGAATATTTAGGGCAAAAGAAATATATCAAATGCTGAGTTTCCATGTCCATTTCTGAACAATTTCAGTTCAGATTAACAGATGCGCTTACAAATTTTCATGAAATTCATCCTTTTTCTTAAAGAACAAGTGCCATTATTCTTACGGATGTGCTTTCCTGATGATGAAACTGAAGCTCTCTTTTAAGTGGAAAGACGTAAAAAAAAGAAATTGGATGTTTTAATACTGAAGACTGATCAGTCTTTTATACAGGAGTTTCCAGTGCACTGAGTGCTCACTTATTATTGCTTTTTTTGAAGTCAGTGGAAATGGTTATGGAAGTGGTTGGGAATGCAATTATACAAGCACTTTTGCTTTAAAAGATCCATTTTACATTGTAATGCAATCTTCAGTAATACTGCATTATTAATCTTCACAGTATACAGGGAAGCAAGGTTTCCTTAATATCTTAGTATATGGATGAAAAAAAAATATTATACGTTGTAAATTGGTCCCACGAGCCAATGTTAGGCTCACGTGTGGAGTTAAGTGGGCTTAGCTTGTAATTGTTGATTATTATTTTTTCTCCCTGCCCCTCCAAGAATTACCAATAATTGATTTGAAAATAAAATTATTAAAGAAAAAAAGATCATTCAATCCTTTTCACATTCCACCAGAGGTTTCTGTAACAGCTGAACTGATGCTGGTGAGGAGGAGGAAATCTCCTTCAGAGGCAGAGAAAGGAGGAATAAACATGTTGGAGTAGAAGGCTCGTAGGCAGCTTTATTGCCAGCGTAGGAATTTTCAGTTTTGGTGGCAGTATCTGGTTTGAGAACCATCTGCCTTTTCCACCTGCACTGGTTCCTCATTTATGTTCTCAGTCATTTATTCTTTCAGCTCCTCATTTGTGGCAGGTACTGAATTCCCTGCTTTTGTAGACATGCAAGCTCTACCTAGCAGAACAGAAACCACTGATAAATGAGTAAGTATAAAGAGCAAATGTTAGGTGGGCAGAAGTATCTTAACACATTACTATGGAAGTAAGCCATTTTTTTCTGGCACAGTGATAAGCCAGGTGGTGTTACAGTCCTGTTTAGATGCAGGTGTGAATGTATCACTACAATATATTTGTCTTTCAGAATCCTCCTTTTTCTTGTAATAATGATAGTCATTTGCACCACATGCCTGTATCTACTTTGCTTTGAACATTTTTCTGTAGTGGGAGCGTTACCTCAGTTGTGATGGAAGTCCTGACCCAACTGTACTGCAGGAAATAAATACTTTCATGAGCTTATGGCGTGAAGATCAAAATGAGGACATTCAACTTGTGATGGAGAAGGGAGAACAGGTGCTAAATGTAAGTGTTAAAATGGTATTTTTCAGTTTAAGCTTACCAGAATGTATCTTTAACAGCCCCCTCCCCCTTCCTTTTTTTTTTTTTCAGCCAAATGACTGAAATTGGCAATAACCTTCAAAACCCAAAAGTTTTTCTTCAGCTTTTACATTATTTTAATTACAGATTTATTGTTAACTCTAAAGAAGGTGACTAGTGACTTTAAATATGCAGTGCATTTAAGAGATTTGTGGGTAACGTTTCTACACTGAGCTCTAGTATTCCAACATCCATCTACCCTGCTATGTACACTTTAAGCAGTCTTGAGCCAGAACATATAAGCTCATGTCATATATAGATGCTCCAGTGGACAGCAGCCTTGTTGTGTAACACTTGAAGCCAGTAAAGTGTCATGTAAGAGCAGGGGTTCCCAAAATGCAAGCCACAAACCAATGATGGTTTGTGAGGCAATTTTAAGCAATTTGTGGCTGCTCTGTAAATGTAGGATTTTATTTTCATTTATGCTAACTTTATAGTGTTTTTCAGAAAGTTAAATGGGGTCTTCCAGAAATTGGGGGTGAAGGTCGCCTGCGTAATACAACTTTCATTGGGCTGGTTTGGTTCCGAGTGTTAGATTTCCTATCTTGCAATGCTTGCTGGGTGCTGCAATTTTCACTTTCTGCATACTGCCTTTTTCAGAGCCAGCAGGGAATGTGCTGGTCCTTTCCAAGAATTTCAACAGACAACTCCTCCCTTTCTCTTCCACACTGCAACCTAAGGAAAAAGCCTGGCAGTTGCCCACTTCCGTTGCTTCTCGCCACTCTTCTCCCTGCTGTCATGTCTGTCTTTGCCACAGACACGCTTCCTCCCATCCAACACTGAGGCAGTTACAGCTACTTCAGGCCCTGTAAATGTGTATTACCGTGCACTGTATGCTCAGTAGAATATTATGTGACAGTAGAAGACAGGCATTTTTGTTTTGCCCCTGCTGGAAATGCAAGGTGATGTAAAAAACATCATCTGTCTTCTCTTGGTCTAAAACACTTGAGTGTTTCCTTCCTGTTCTACATGTTTTTAAAGGAAACTGTTAAACACGCCGAACTGTGAGATCGTGTAGATCAGCAGTTCAGAGTTGACAGGGACCACCTCACTATCGTGGCAGACCATGTTAAAGGTGCAATACAAAAAAGACAGTAGTAGTTACAATTCTGCTGCTGTTTTGCCACGTCGTTCATGAGCACTAGCACTGCGATTCCACAGGCTAAGAGAAAGAAGAGTCTGGGAAGTCTGAAGGGAGGCATAAAATGTAATCTGATCCTCCCTTTGTCTCAGTGCTGCAGGTCGCTTTGGCCAGCTAGGAATTTTTTAGTTCTATACAAGCATTTGGATGTTAAGATATTAGCACGTAGTGGACGACAACAATGTAATGACAGAGTTCCAAACTTCACGCTAAGGATTGTTCTGAGAATTAAAATGTAATTTTAATCAATGTAATGTAATTAATTATTTTTTTGGTTAAGATTTTATAGTTGAGATTATTACTATAGAAAATACGGTTCCAAAATAAAGCTGTAAGCTTTTCATTAAAACTAATTTTTGACCAAAAGTTTCCTCATACAACCAACTGGTTCAATAAATGATCTGTTTCATAAGCTAAGATTTCACAGCCCACAGGTTAAGGAATGAAGGAATTGGACTAGAGGAATGAAGGCAGGCAGACTTCACCCTGGAATTTCCAGCACTTTGCATGGTTGACTGTCTATCTGATAATGCTGGCTTTGCACAATTTCTAGAGATATAATAGAAAAAGATTATTTCTGTGACCAAGATATGTTTAGTTACAAAGGAAGCAAGTTTGCCTTATTTTTTTATGACAGACACACAGTATATTAAGGGTGGTGTCAAAACAGAGATACTTTTCCCACATATAATGTCTTCTAGTTAATTGAGAAGTTGCAGTTTATTTTATTGGACACACCACGAAATGAGATAACAGAAAAAGAAACAGTCCAGTACCAGGAATCTATTCTGGAATTGCAGAATCTGCTTCATCAGAAGTACAATGGAGCAACAGAACACCTGCTTAAAGTAAGTAAGATTTACTGCTTCGAAGCTGTAACATGCCCAATGCACATAAGGTTAGCTACAAGTGTCTTCTTGTCATGGTTGGTTTTGTTTGTTCTTAAATTGCCACAGAGGTTAGTATTTCAGTTTCCAAATTTTGTATTTGAGTTTCCAAATCATGTGTATAGCAGATACCAGACTTGTATTTCTTCAGAACCCCTGCAATTCTTAGCTTAGAGTGGAAATTCTCATCATTAAGACATGTAATATTAAATTATTCTGACACTTTGTGAGATTTGGAGATGTTGAAAACAAGGGGCACTGTATGAAATTTGTTTCATACTTTTGTCTCAATGATTTAAATTAAAGTTTGTTGACTGTACAAAAAATTGAAAATGTGAAAAGCAGGTCATAAGGTTAGCTTGTACACATTTTTTTAATACAAGTTAATATGACTAAAATATCTTTTAAACTGAGATCTTGGGAAGAGTAAAGAGTATTTAAACAAGAAAATGAAAGTGTATTTGGGAATCAGTTTTCTGCGTTGCATGTATAGGTAGTGATCTTGCTTGCTATTTTAAGTATATTAATCATATATGTAAGTATGTTTAGCAAAAGAATATTACTAGAGGAAACAAAAAAAGGAAAGTAGTACGGAGTATGTTTGTTCACAGTCAAACCCCTCTGTAAATTAGGAAATGTTAAAATCTTGATCATATTTTCTGAGTTTAGGATTAAACTCCTAATGTAATTATCATTTCACAAGTTGTATATTGACAGAAATATAAAATAATCTGTGCAGTGGCTGTGGGCTAGGCTGTGGGCTGTGCTTTATTGCCCAGTAAGTCCTTTTGTGTTTTTTAACTTGTTCTGAGAAGTATTTTTGAGGGCACATGATTAAGGCAGATAGGCAGTATCGTTGAAGGGGATAATGTAAGATCCCATATTTGGCAGAATTTTGACTGACAGAATTGATGAAGTCAGAGGAAGAAAAAGAACATAGTTCAAATTTTAACAAAGGTATTTGAGTTTATAACTGTCATGTTTTAGTACATAAATGCAACATACCTGAGCTTGGTCTGGTGTATTTTTATCCCTACGTGTCTTTTCTTACTTACTCAAGTGTAAATGTAAGTAAATCAAAGTAATATAAATAGGAAGAAAACATGATTTAATCTGCTTTTTCTTTGTAGACAGCTAATATGCATGAAGATTCTGACACTGGAAATATGCAGGCAGTCATGAAGGGTAAAAACGTTACTTTTTGTATTTGGGCCAATCTGAAGAAGAAAGTAAGGTACAGCATACTGAAACTCTTAGTTTGAAATAAGGCCTGGCCTTGTCTACCCAAGTCAAGTAAACACCAAGAACCAGTTTCTCATAATCTTTTTCCTGTTGAATAGCTTTTATTCTACAGACTCTCAACTGATGGGTTTCATACCAACCTGTTCCTAAGGAAGGTACCAGTTACATCAGAGTTTTACTAAAGAAATAGGAGTGTTTAATATATGTAGATATATGTATAAAAATACATATATATGTATATAAAAATACATATGTATGTAGCTATATATATATATATAAATTCTGTTTCTTAAAATGCTACAGTAGAACCCTGTTACTGCCAGAACAGTTTTTGAAGGAAAACAATAAAACTCATGCAGAGAATTGAAATTCCTCTGGAAGTAATGTTTCTTGCTGATGCATTAAAATAGTTTCTAAGCTGTTACAGTTTCTTGCAAAGCGGTGAATGATGCTTTGTGCTCTGTACTCTGTTAGAAAAATATTCTGGGGCCTGGAATGCAAGTATCCTCCATCAGAATCTAAGATTTTTTTTTTTTTTTTAATTAGATTACCATTTAACTGATATATTTTTCAAAACAAGATTTTTGAGCAGACTTCCTACTCCCACTCCACAAATATGAGGAATAAACTGGTAAAAGGACTTTACCCTGACTAAGGGCCTGGTGCTGTAAGCTTTGCTAAGGTAACTGGAAGGCTGGGTCCTGAGCAATGTCAGGCTGACCTGCAGGAAGAGCCCATTTGGGTTAGCGTTAAAGCTTTTTGGTCAGCTTAGAGAGCACTTAAAATTTTCAACGAAGAATTCAAAAATAGATGATGCTTTACTAGAAGATTTTTAGAATATGTGACTACCTGGCCTTATCAGAAAATAAGTATTATTTGAATTGTTCTGGTTTTGGTTGGGCAGGAATTGCAATGAGCAAGAAAATTCCGTATCTGATGAAAGAACCCAAGTTCACAAGTTAGATACTTGATTTGATGCAAGTTGGCCTCCTATGCCTGCTCTTCGCCTCTTTCCTACACTGTCAGAAGGATCAACGGCTGTGTAATACTGTTGATTATCAAAATTACCTTTACATCTGTGTGTCTCTTTGGGTTTTATGTGGAAGATGCTGAGCCTGATGTAACACAGACAGCTGGTGACTTCACCTGTGTAGGAATTTGCCCATTAAATTGGTCTGTTTTGCCAGGAATGTACTGTGTAGAAGCGCTGCAGTCTGATTCTGCCTCATGGTCATCCTATCATCAGGACTGTTATTTTTGCGGCTCCTGATCCCCTTAATGCAGTTACAGCTTTTCTGGACAGGCTTACAGACAGCTGTCAGTACAAGACAGGAAGCGTAGCGTGACATCCCACTCTATTTCTTAGACTGTGCCATGCGACAAAAGAGAATTTAGGTGAATTTTCATGTAGAACATCAATTTGAATACTTATGAAGAACTATAAAAATAAGTGCTGCCCATCTTACTAGGGAATGTTATTTTTTCACTGTTGTGTACAGGTTCAAACATCACATGTTTTATGATACACAGCACGGATTTGATCTTCCAAAGTCACTGGCTGTGAGCAGTGTTGCAGTTCGCATATTGCATACTCATTATGACCACGTATCTCCACTTTGGCTGCAGTGTCAGAGTGTGCCACAATTGGAAGTCTTAGATAGCAAAGAGTTAATTCAGAATTCAAAAGACAATGCAGAGGAACCAGAAGAGGAGGAAAAGAAAGCCAGAGAAGAGCCCAATACGCCTGCTGAAGAAGAAACCTGTTCTGATGGGAGAAAGGTAGGTAAAAAAATCTCACAAAAGGATGTTCTGCAACGCTGCTGTTACTCAAGGCCCACTCGTGGTGTAACAGCTTCTTAATGCGTCCTGTGCCTGAGAGAGCCAGGTTCTTAAACGTTCTATAGAAAAAGGCAACTTGTGTTGATACTGTGCCATAGATCTTCTCAAGGGAATGGAAGGGTGAATGACCAAAGATTGTCGTACAGGAGGTAGAAAGGGAAGTTTGGACAGGGTGTGGTAGTTGCCATGCAGTTGGCATGTGTGAGTTGGCATTTGGTTGGCAGTTTAAGAGTAGGATCAAGCCATGAGGAACGTCGGGTCCCGTTCTAAGATCTTTCCATAAATCTGTGATGTATGTCCAGATGAATGGATTCTGCTTCTGAGAAACTGACAGTCCCATAAAATCACTGCAGGAATCCAATATTAGGAAAATTTGCAGCATGCAGAATAGGATTCAGAGTTGAGCAGGTCGTGGTTGTGCAGTTACTTGGTTGCTGCGTCTGTCTGCTGAAGCTTTGCCAGTAGAGGGCTTTCCCAGTACTGTTTCTGGCTGCTGGATACTCCTCATCAGCGCTCTTCAGTGGAGTATGGTGGCTTTAGGTGTTGTGGAGGTTGCTTGGTTTTGTATTCTTCTTACGGGGTTTGGGTTTTTCACTTTCAGTATCATCTGTGACCTGCAGATAAATGACTCTGGTTCTCTAGCTAAAATTTCTGGACAAATAACTGTAAAGCATCATGTTTTAGGCCTTCTTAATATGTTTGGAGCAATGCTCTTCGCCTTTTTCCTTTTCAGTCCCCAACACCTTTGTAGTGAATCAGTGCCTGAAATCTCATTTTTCTTGGTTCCTTTTTTCTTTTTTGTATGGCAAATTTCATCTTTTGGCAGTTTTCACCTACATTTTTCAGACTTTCTTCAAGCTTTTAGTTTCATTCCTTCTCATTTTCTTTTCCTGCTCTTTTTCTTTCCCAGGTCTCACTCTCTTTCTCTCAATCCAGTTTTGTGAATTTTCCTGTTCCCTCTGAAGACTCTGCTTCTCTCAGCTACTGCAGTTTCTCCTCCTGTCTGGCTCTGCCTTGAGTTCCCCCACGTTTATGTGCGTAAACACTTCTTTCCCCTCACCTTCTGTCCTGTTGGAGATGTGGGTTCTTCCCACGGGCTGGCAGGCACAGCGCAGGGCGCAGGAGGTGCCCGTGCCTCCAAACGGGCGGCTCGTACGCTGAACTGCCGTTTGTCTGCTGCTGTGCTTCCAGAGGGGTCTGCTATGATAGGGATGAATTCCTATCTGGGTTGGAAATGTGGCTGGAAATCTAGGGTAATGTTTTGACGATAGAAAAACAGTGTGAGAAAGGGAATAAATATCATGGGCAAGGCACAGGCTAAGACTGCAAGTGGGGGTTCTGGCAGAGTTTCAGTATGGCTTTGGATTCAACATTGGCTTGAGTTTTCTTTGTGTCACTCTTCTAGCTGTAAAGTCAGATAAACATAATTTTTGAGTGTATACGCTGCTAAAAAGGTGAAGTGCTTGTATGGTACTTGGGGAGCTCGAGATGGAATTTGCTGTGGAAATGAAGTACTTATTTCATGTTTGTATCTATTTATATATCCGGCTCCAAAGTTGGAGAGTACCTTTGATCAAAACTATTTTTGCTCGCTAGGTAGAAATTTCTCCTAACACCTTGACCCTGTGGCAAGATTGGTGCAAATGTTGCTGGAGGAGTGGGACTGTACTCTTTCTCCTTGGGCCTCCGTGAAGGAGGTGATACCCTCTTCTTGAAAAAATGTCTTTTGCTTTTTATATAGAGTGCTATCTCACTCACAGAAAAGTGCAATAGCATAGCTGACAGAAATGAGACAGAGGAGGAAATTGAGAAGAAATCAGAAATCTTGGACATAACGTCACAAGGTATTTGGTTAGTTTTTATGTGCAGCATTGCAAACGTGCTTATTCTAAATATTCTATTTTATATATGGAAACGTCGTGATATAGATCTCTGTGAATGGAACAAAGTTTATAAATGTATTGATGTTTTGATAACACTTGAGTTTTGTTGACATTTCTGTTAATGATTGTTAAATGCAGGGAGAAAATAGGACAGATAGGAAAATGGATTTTGCCCCCAACACTTAATTTATTTATTATTTATGTTTATGTTCATGTACATGTTTATTATGTTTATGTACATTTGTGTATTATTATGCATATGTTTATGAATGTTTATGGGTGAGACACACAATCTTTATGAATCTGTCTGGTGAGATTGACTTCCTCAGAAAAAAATGATTCAAATGCGTATAATGGTAGGCACTCAGGTAGTATAGGTATTGCTAAGTTACTTAAATGTGTGCTTAAAGCGAGATACGTGCTGATACACTTTTGCTAAAAAAGGGCCTAAGTCTAGGAACTAAAACTGTTTATCTGTCCCACATAAGTTCAGTTACAAATATCTTCAGTGTTATGCTGGCCTTTAGTTTAGTAAGAGTGAGTTTTCTTGTAGTACTGTCTTAAATAAACCAACTACAACCTATTCAGCATAGTTTAGCTGAACTGTACAGGCTTTTCCTTGTTAAAAAAACAACCAAACAAAAAGCCCAACCCCACAACACTTTCTGCTGAGCACAGTCCAAGCAACTAGCTGTCAGACTAGACCCTGGAGACCACCCAAACAAGGTGGTTTTCAAGAGAATATAAAGAACTTGGGCTTCATTTGGAGGAATTTTCTATTTTATTTCAGTAAGGCTTTGAAAATCCCTACCATGGTATTAGGTGAAAGGTATGTGCACAGAAGTGTGCTAATTATACCTGAACGTCTTCAAGCTTGTTTATCTGCTTTAATAAGGAGAGAAGGCTTATGAAACGAGGCGTTTGCTGGCATGCTCATGATTGATTGGTTGGCAAACCCATTTGACCACTTCTCAGAGCAGAGTTTGAAAGGATTCTCAGTTACCGCAAATTCAGTGAAAAGGCAGCCAGGTAGGCGAGAAGGAAAAACCAGGAATGCAACAACAGGGAAGAGAGCGAGAACTACTGCAGTTCTCTGGATTTAACTTCATTGTACCAGTGTTGAGAAGTTAATTTAGCTTGGGAGACTGAACAGTTTTGTTTAGAAGACACTTAAATATTTTTGTATTATTATTTTAAAAAAGCAAGTTAAAGTGCAAGCTACCACTGTGGCTGGTAGTAAAATGGTTTTTACTTCCTCTAAATTTTTTTGATGGGAATAACTGCAAAAGGACATTATGGTGTTGTGTGAATACAGTAGAAGAAAACCTCTGCATAATGCAACTAAATCTGACATTATAAAATTAACACCATTTTCACTTGTATTTAAAAAGCTTGAAGACAGTTTATATAGATATTTGCCATTTTGTGAGAGTATCTTGCTCTCTAAAAGCAAGTTTCATGACACTTAGAGTAGCTGTTTTTACAGTATTGAACACTTTTTCTTGATCCCTATTAATGGTCGCTTCCATCCTCCTTCCGTAACACCCGGTGCAATGTTTTATGTGGGCTTGTTTTTTGTTTTTGTTTTTTTTAAAGAAAATATTTCTAGGCATTTTTGTCCATCCTTGATGCCTTCTAGTAACATTTTCCAATTAATTAAAACTTACATTCATACATATGTGTAATATATACATAATTATATGCAGAAAAAATATGAATTATCTTTGTTATCTGAAAAGTTTATTTTATGTTAAATCCCTCTTGCTCTTCATAAATATCACCCATCTTTCACCTTCAGCACGTGACCTGTAGGTGCCTTATACCTTTTATTTGCCTCATTGTTTTCATACCAATACAACCTTACTAAACCTGTCCAGAATCTACTGTGTTGTATATTTGGGAAATTCTTCTGTGATTAATGATGTGACTCATTTTGTCAGTAAAACGTTATTCCTATATAAAGCGTTTTGAATTGACTACAAAGTTAGGGCAGAGATTAATGTGTTAAAAAGCTCAGTACCAAAACAAGAAGTGCTTTTCATTGTCCAGCTGTCTGTCTTTCCCCACATCTCAATTAATTGTTAAAAGGTTTGGGGAACACCAGCAGATGGTGCTGAAATGCTGCAGAGTGTAAAGCACTTCAAGCACGTGGGCTTTTTGTGCAAAAGTGAAAAATAATGGAAGCGGGAAATTTCAGTGCCTTAGTTGAAGCACCAAGTTACCTCATGTCGTTCGGTTATTTTGTAGTTCAGGATCCACTGATGCAGGAAGAGACGAATGAAAAAGAAGAGGCGATAACTGATGAAAACATTGTTAATTTGCAACAGTTTGTACCGGTGGGTGGTGTGTACCACATTGACGTACTGCAGCTTCCACCTCAGGTCAAACACTTCAAGGACTGGAGTATGGTGGAGGTAAGCGAGGAAAGCGATTACAGCCCATGCAGTCCTCTTCCCTGTCATCCTTGAAGAGCTCTTCCTGAGGCATGTCACCACTGTACATCTGCAGTGTACGCGATTTCTTGAGCAGCAAACTGAAGGGCCACGTTTTCAAATCCTTTTTCAATTACAGTTGGCCAATTTTTGGAGCAGCTGGGGGAACGGATCAGCCTGCACTTAGCGAGGCGTGTGCTCGTCAGCATGGCTAGCACAGATTGTTGTGCTGGATAATGCTCTTGGCCAAAGTAAAAGTAAAGAGAGAAGTTCGTAGTTTTTCATATGTGACAAGTACACTTGAAAAAAGGATGGTAACAAAATTACTGCCAATTCAGTTCCAGGCTCTGCAAGATATTTGAGGACTATAGCCCATGTGTTCTGGTTTTCCCACTCATGGAGCCTCATGCAGCGCTAACCTACATCACAGTTTTTACTGTGAAGCTGAAAACCTTTAATAAGTGAAATTCCCGTACAAACTAAGAAAGTGAGACTGTGGGCATGGGATCTTCATTCCCAGTGAGCACACAGACCTGCATTACCAGTCGCATGTGACCTCTTTCATTCCCTTTGACACTGTGTGGACAAAGTGGAATTATAGCTGCCTTTTGCCACTCAGGTGCTCTTGTTTTTTTTGGACCTATTAAAAAATGACTATGCCTACTGTGTGGCAATGCCTTAAGGGTGTCATCGACAGCACATGAAGGGTTCAAAGTAAAAGGGTAACTACCAACAGGCCTGTCTTCAACATTGTAGTTGGAAATGTGCAATGTTAGCAAACCATTAATACTAATAAATTTTAAATGGTGTGTTAGGAGACTCCGCAGGTGATTAGGTGGACTTAAAAGAAAGAAAAAAAAGTAGGCTACTGCATTTTCTAATAAAAATCTTATATCTGTCCTTTTCCCATCTTGCCAAAGTTACTCGACGGTGGATTGGAAGCATACCCGTATCCCCCAGAAGAGGCTGAAGATGCCACTCATCCACCAATACAGATAACCCTTAGGCTTTCTGACAATGTGATGTATTTTGAGGATCCTGTGATAGCCCGATGGGATCCTACAGGTACTTAGGACATAAATTTATTTTAAGTTTGAATAATGGAATTTATACCTGAGTTTGACTGTTTCCAGAATCCAGCTGTAAAGATAAGAGCCAGTTCAGAGCCCAGAAATAATTTGGAGACTTCAATGTTAATTGATTTGGTTTTGTTTTGGTTTGTTTTTTTTTTTTTCTATTTTGCCTCTGCGCCATATCTAATAAGGGGCTGCTTGTTGAGGCTTTTTACTGTGGCTTTTTAATATGAATGGAAAAAAATACACACTGTTTAATGGGCAGTAGTACAACTGTATACCACAAATAAAGTTTTGCTAGGATGAAGCCATGTAAAGGCCACTTTGAGCCAAATTAGCTCCTAACTATGTGTATTAGTATTAAGTTAAAATGTGAAAATTAAATGTTAAAAACCAAATGTGGTATTCTAGTTATTAGATCAATACAACATACCACTGACTTTCTATTCATGAAAGAGAGTAGAACCTATTAAAAGGGTTTGATACTTGAAGTTACTCTTGAAAATGGGCTTGTGGACTGCTGCTATATAGCAAGAAAGAAATGAGCGTTACATTAGTATTTGTATTTCTTTTGAGATTAATGAGAAGCTTTCCTGTCAAAATTAGCCCAATCTTGTACTTAAAGACAATTAAAATGAGGCGAGTTTTTGCCTTAAATGAATTATTTTGGGCCTAGTATTTTATCTTAACTGTGAATATTAGTTAATCTAGGATGTCTTAACTAACTAATTCTTCCCCAGCACATATCACAAGCAGAAGCTTTACATACACATCTTTGTATTTTTGCATCCCTCTTGTAAAGGCCAACAGTGGAGAACTGATGGCATCAGCAACATAACGTATGAAACGCAGGAAAAGAAGAGTATCACCCTTGAGATGGGTGCCTTTTATACAATAGCACTTCTCCAGGATGCTCATCTCAACATGCCTTATCGGGCATGGGAATTGCGACCTACTGGTATGGATGAAGCACTACTTATAGTTACTACAGTCTTTGCAACGATTCAGATACAAATTAAGGTACCGTAAATATTTTGTTTGTAAAACATTTGCAGTTTTTTTTAAAAAAATATAGAATTATTACAGTGTCCTTTATTAAGAACTTGGAATGCTTCCACAAGAGCAAGTTGAATCTCACTCTGTGCCGATAAAAATGAGGGAGGATCTCTTCCTTTCCAAGCACTGTAAGGAACAGTACTGGTGATTTAATTTCAGTTATTTTCTGTGAACTGGTCAGAAGAAAGCATCTGTATGGTTGTTCTGCAAAGTTCCAGTAAGTGCTTTGATATTGATACTGCCTTGCTGAATTCAAGACTCTTTCACCAGCTAGAGATTTAAAAATTGTTCCTCTCTCCTCCTTGCTCTACCAAGAGAAATAAAAGCATTTCAAGCAACCTACTACTAATGCTACTTGTTCCTTCCAAAGGTTCAAGTTACGCATAGTTAGCCGTGTGCTCATTGCCATATAAATCAGTTCAGTAACAGACATGATTTTAAAAGAGTCAGTATGAGCACAGGCATGGGCCAGTAGAGCATCATCATTGCTGAAATCCTACAAAAAAGTGGCTCTCTTCAGGATCTGGGAATGAAAGTTTACAGCCCAGAATGATAGATAATGTCTACACTATCCAGAATAGCAAAGATACATTAATGTATTTGATGCCTGAAGCAGAAAATAGCTTTCATGACCAGTAAGTTGCTTTCACTGGTTTGTACAACAGGGTAATCAGTGTATGTTGTCTTCAGTAGTGGTGGAAGAGAAGGATGTGCTTTCCCACATCACAGGAAAATGGATAAGTCCAATTGTGCTAAGAGCAGTTTTGAAAAAAGCTGGTGTGAATATTTTCCCAGGAGAGTACTCTCACAAGTATGTCTCTGTGAGCAAGAAGGTGAGTGCAGCAGTGGATGGTTTTCCTGTTGTTTTTTCCACCTATTTTTCCCTTAGGTAACATTTTCTTGTATGAAGACCTGTTGTGCAGAATCAGGTGACACATATACAGGTGTTCTGCCAGCTTAGCCAGTGGAGGAGTCTGGTTAAAGCAAGCTTTTTGTTATGTTTGGATAACACAGGGAATTAGACTGAATGATAGATACGTTTTCTAACTAACTTGTACTTTTGCATTACAGGCTCCCCTAGCAGAAGTTAGGGCCTATCAACAGATGGCACTGGTTGCATCTGCTTTTGCCTTTGCCTGGAGCAAGTGGAATGTAGAAGCAGGTCAAGAGCAAGTAGTGTTCAAGGTTTGTGGATTTTTAAACTAAACTAAACTTCTAGAGAAAACCAGCACAGCAGTCTGTCACAGCTAAAGAGACAGAAACAATTCACTTCTATAAGTTATGCTCATCTCAAACATTGTCTTCAACCCCTACCTACACGGTTAGCGCAGCAGTTTTAAGATTTAAGGTTGACTACTTAGCAGTGTTCAGTGTGTGTCAGTAAAACTTCAGAGCCTGCTTCTCCACTGCTTCACAGCTCATGCTTTTGTGAGATCTCTAATGGGGGACACATCTCAGTAACAAAGCTGGAGAGATATATATAGCACGCTGGATGCTGATTTTCATGAGGGGTCCTCTGAATAGCAATCTAATGTGGAAGTTTTACTACCAGGAAATTTCTTCTTGTCAGTATGGGGTTTCATTTGTTCCCTACTGTAAAGGAGGGAATAAGTGACTTAAGCATTGATTTGTTTCCGTCTGTGAACTAAAACAGATGTGGTTAAAACTTCTGCCAGGGAGACAGAAGATACTCCGCATTGTGGCTGTAAATACAGAGAATACCATACTGTTGAAATCTTGAGCAGCTCTCCCACTCTCTTGAGTTAAATGCGTGTGACACGCAAATATACTTAGCCTAATACTTAATCCCAGGAACAAGAAGCAAAGCAAGTGATGCCTGTTGCACCCAGCTACTCTCTCCATAGGAGACAGGATCAGCAAGAAAGCTGGAGTGGCCAAACCTTGCATTTTACAGAGGAAGAGTTTGGTGTTGATACAGTACCTGGTGCACAGAGAGCTAATATTGTTTTTAGGAGTTCAAAGCAGTGCCTTGGTTTTGTTTCTGCATTACATTCATGAGTATACTAGAATTTCATACTAGAATTTATAACTCTGTCAGCGTCATGGGCTTCATCTTACAGCACAGTTTTGTTTTCTGCAATAGGTAAGTGAGCATCTTAAAGCAGATTCTGTCAAAGACTGGTCTCTTTACATGTTTAATGGTCAGAAGGCACAGAAGCTCAAGATCACAGAAACCAGTGAAGCTTTTTCAGAAGAGCTAGAAGAAAATTCTGAATTTCACTCCACACTCTACCATACGCTTAAGGATGCTGCCAGCAAAGAAGCAATTGATAAAGTGGAAACAGCTAGCTTCTTGTTTGTTGATGTTGTATATCAGCTACTGCTTGCTACGAGAGTTTTAACATACTCTTAAATACTGTGTGCTTTCCTTTAAAACTTTATTATCAAAAGCTTTCAATAAAGTTACATTTCAAGTCTTGAATCCTTTTCCGTTCAAATAATTGTAACAGCTTCAATGACTAAAATGCAAACATTCTGCTTTTGTTACAGCAAAATAAGTTCTTTATTGTCTTGTGGCTAGACCACTTAGTCATATTTATTGTTAGCTATGTTCAAAATTACTACCTGTTTTATTGTAAACTTGAATAGAACTGAGACCCTTTTAGGTACTTCTAAAGATGACTTTTGTCAGGATGGGTTTCAAGTCATGCTTTAAAAAAAACAAAACAAACCACAAAAAACCTCCCCAAAACACACCCACAACCCAACAAAACAAACCCAAACATGTAACCTTAAATATACTATCTCAGCTTCTCATACAGTCATCCAGAACTTGAAAGTGTAACTACAAAAGTCAGAACCTTTGTTATACGGGGGGTGGTCCGTTGTGTTGAAGTCCTGTATACGGCCACAACAGTTGCTGTAGTGAAGTCCAGGAGTCCCCAGTTCCTACAGGTGCTGCGTCTGCTGGTCTTTGAAGAGACAGCCCCGTGAGGAAGCTTGTGAGAGCAGCCAGCAGTACCAGGATGGAAACGGAAACCCAGAGAGTTTTGTTAGCGTTGGAAAAGGAAGCCTTGAAATGGGACACCCACGATGACATTAAATTGCACCTGCAAGGAGTAAGTCATACAGTGGTTCAGTTTTTCTTCAAAACTTGGCAGTCCTCTTCCCACCCCACTCCCCCCACCCCAGAAGACCCTAAAGGAAACCAGACCCCACAAACAAACATACAGATCCTTAACTATCAAAAGTGACAAGGTTGTTACGGTACTGGGAGCTACGTACAATGGTAGCTTATGTTTGGGCTTTTTAAAATGCTGACTTCGGTAAGCCAGTTCTCAATAAGCTGTTTTGGTGACTGACCTGAGCCACGAGCCCAGCGCAGGCACCCATGCTCCCTGCACCCCGCCATGTTTCTGAAGGGGATTCACAAAAAACTGCCTGGCAGCTCATGAAGATATCTTGCTTGTAGGAAGCACTGAAGAGTGCTGGCCTTATGTTTTACTGTTTTCTAGGGCTTTGGTGCTTTCCTTGAGGTTAGGGAGAAGGCTTACCCTCACTGGCTATCCAAATCCTAGACCTCTCATGACACTGGGTGCCTCCATCCTTTATCAAACAATAGAAATATTTGTTCTTGCTGTCTTCTCAGTTTTACACGCTAGCATAATTGTCTTGTCTCCCCCTTGATCAGAAATGCTCAAAGTGGAGGCTTAGCGTAAGATATTCATACAGAATAAACAGTTTCTCTGCAGAGACAGCAGACCTCCTTTCCTGTAAGGCAGGGGCTTCCAAGGGATACTTGTTTAGGACAGCACTCTCTTCCTTGACTTGAGATATTCAGAGAAATTAGCTGGAATAGTCTGGAGTTAGTCTTGATAACTACTCGTCTCTCAGTGTGTTCCCCAGCTGTGGTTAAGTTTTGCACAGGCCTCAAACCCTTGCTCATTTTTACAAGAGTACATGTTAGGGTAACCGACAAGAGGTAGGACCATAGCATGAGGCTCCGCTTCACCTCACCATTTAGGATTAGTAATGAATCCCTGGTGGGGCGAGTCTCTGGCACCTGAGATGACTCATTCCCAGTTGGTTTGATACAAAAATCGGTGTTAACAACCAAACCAAAGCTACAGCTTTGCTTTCTGTTCCCATGTCCACCACCCAAACGTCGCTTTACCTCATGATGATGTGAGAAAACTTACGCTGACTCTAGGTTCCATTTTGATGAATATTTTCCTTTTTCAGAGATGCTTTCCTTCCTTGATGGTTCTTCTTGCACTTCAGCAGGTGATTCCGACTGCTTATTTCTGTAAGCAAGCATCAAGAGTTCCAAAGCTTTTCCATCAAGCATTTGATTTGACAGAGCTCACAATAGCTTGACTTTATAGCCCTGATCAGGTGGTGGACAGTTAAGAGTTTATTAAAAAACGACCCGACCAGCCCTGCACACACACCTCAGAGGAGGTTGTTGTTGAACTTACTTTGTTTCAGCGTGTTCGTTTTCATACTCTGCCCAGGAATACGTGCTAATGAACCGCTGTAGCGAAGGACGCTTCTCATTTTGCTTTGCTCCCAGTCGTCCCCTGTCACGTTTTAAAGAAGTTTGCCTTAATTTCCCCGTCAGATATATAGCAGGAAATTAGAAATTCAGTAGCAGCCTACTTATTTGGGTAGGCCTTAGACAAATAAGTTTCAAAATTAGTTGCCTGAAATTAGGATTCTTTTTTCAAAAAAAACCCAAAAAACACAAAACCAAAAAACCCAGATCCATCAATGCCAGCTGCCTAGATTTCATATTTTAGTTCTAAAGCAAGAAAGTCCAAGGTAATTTTTTAAAAGTCTCAACCCTTAATAAAAAAAAAAAATAAATAAAAAAAGAAGAGCTGTAACATTTAGTCACGAAGGCTCATTTACCTATTGAAGTATGGAAAACTAACATGAAAGGTGTAGCCTAAACATTATTATACCTCAAGATACTCCATAAGCTGCTTAATACAGGCACAGTTAGAGCTGAAAAACATTTAGCACTATTCAAAGACAAGAAGTAACTTTACCAGCTGCTTGATCTCCTGTTGAATTTATCACTCCGTTCATCTCCATCAAGTTCATGGAACTGGGCCTGGGGAAGAAGTTTGACAGACTTACTGCATTGGCATTTTCACGCTTCAGCCCAGCCAGTTTTGAGAAGGTGAAGCGCCTCACCATCCGGAAACCCCTACTTACCAGCGGCAACCCAATACCTGCATTTCCAGCACTCCTAGGCAATGTTGCAATGCTAACTCTTCGTAGGGATGATGATGGCTATACAAATAAGAGGCATTACTGACTCTACCAAGGAATGACTGGATTACTCACTAATCACATATAATACCATCTGTTTTTATACAAACTGTATTAAAAAAAATAGATGTCGATACTTAGCTTGAAGTGACACACAAGTCAAATCATAAGCACAGCCCAAGCCATGTTCTTTAAAGCAGTGTCTTTCCACATCAGCTGCTTTCCCCCCCTAAGAATCCAAAGTGAGGCTGGCTACACAGCTTCCAGCAAAATGCTGAAGTTGAAGGCATCTAAATTCACCTAATGGTGCCCACGGGGATTCCTATTTGAATTGCTCCCATCTGTTTTTTTAATCTCCTGTTCTAAACCCCTCTTCTGTAGCCCCGGTGAGGGAACAATACATGAACAATATTTCTTAACCATTGCACGAGAGCACAGCCATTTCAGCTTTTGTGAACACTTCATCTTCTAAGTGGGACCACATGGAGCTCCCTTGGGTTGGTGGGGGAGACTGAAAAATATATCCTTGCGTTTGATGACATCAGTCCATATCTGAGACAGAAAACTACCAAGTCAAGCATGTAGCAGATCACCAGCACATGACAAGGCAAAGAAAAACACATAGACACGCACATACTTAAAAACACACATAAAATTTCATGTTAAGCTGCAATGGCCATTACCTTAAAGTTAAAAGAATTTGGTAGCTTTTTATTTGTAGATTCATCTGTGAAAAGATCAAACATCAGAAAGGCTCACAGTGAGCTTTATTTGCAACTAAACGTCTGACTTTTTCTAGTATCTGTTTAAGCAAGGAGTGTATCAGAGTACTCTCAGAGATCAGAAATGAGATTTCGGGAAAAAGCTTTCTATTTCATTAGATAAGTTCATAATTACACATACTCTACAAGCATCAATTTATGTTGCTATCATTAAATGTATTCTTCTATTATCAAGACAGTGTCCTGTTAGAGGACAATCTTTTACAGTCAGGAAGGAGTAGCCCGTGATTCAGAAGACTAATGCGAGGGTTTTACCGGTGTGCAAAACTGCCCTTTCTGGTTTTAAAATATATGCTCTATTTTTCAGAAGAATTTAATCCTTCTCTGGCAAAGCCACAAGTGCACAGCGTGACCTGAAAACCTGACCACTGTACCATCTGCTTAGAGGGGAAAATTTGGAGCACCTGCACTTAAGGAGTCTGTAATTCACATTTAGAAAAGAGCAGGAAGCATCTGTAGAGAGCAGTCAGAGCTCAGCTACCTAGAAATAGCTACTGGGAATGCTCCAGTGTGAGCGAGCACCCAAATTTACTGCTCACAAGGAATAAGATTTATCACCACCACATGCAATGCACTTTTCTAAAAGCCAGCATATTACTGCATGCTTGCAATGTTTTCCCCCCAGCCTGAGATTCATGACAGTGTACACACAAGTGTAATTTTAGAGAGTTGTTTCTAATACTGTTAGTAAATAGCTATTTTCCCCTCTATTTTTAGGAAAGGAGATACGACAGTCATATAACCCCTCCACCTAATGCGTTAAGCTCTAATTAGATAAGGGTTTATCTGGCAGGTGCTAGAAAGAGGAAAGACCAAGCAGCTTTACCTCGATCTCCAAGAGAACTAAAGGATCTCTCATTCTGGAGCAGGACCTGTTTCAGCTCCTCAAGCTCTGCGTGTTCTTTTGCGTACATGCGCTTCAGGTTCTCCACATGTTGAATCATTACTTCCACAGCCTTGCTGACACGGCTCTCCTAACAGAGCGAGTGCAACAGCAGCAGGAAAAATAAGCAGCTCTTTGAGGAACTGCATCGCATTCAGAGTTCAAGACTTTTTTTCCTGGTAACCGTCTACTCTCATCTTGGATGACCACGGTGCAACATCCTCTCATTTTTGTCCACCCTTTCAAAGTTTCACTACAACCCATCTCTCAACACATGCCCAGGTTACACAGGTCTCATTTCTCCAGTGATTACTCTTATCCTAAAATTAATTACTCTTCATTTTCTGAGCCCTTACAACTCCTCCTCATCTCTTCTTCTGATCTACAGTCACAGCTGCCACCACGCATTTGCTAGTATTGCCAAGTCATATTTTCATGTTGTTTTTTGGCATTCTACACAATTACGCATAACATTTGAGCAGGTGGTTGTAAATTTCCATAGATTTAACTTATTAGCTGCCCTTTCCCTAAGGCAGAGAATTACCATTAGAGCATCAAAACCATTGTTACCACATCACATTCTTGTGCTCTCTACTGTATACGTTCCTCTGATGCAAGTTGTTTCTGGATTTTTGTTTGGTTGGGGTTTTTTGTTTTAAATCAGGACCACATTTCTGTTGTGTGCTTTTGCCCAACACTAGTGCAATGTCACTGCTCTCACAGTGCCTGGGATTCCTTATGACACCGCAAACAGCGATCCAAGAAGAGAAAGCCAGGACTAAGCTGTACTGGTCAGTCTGAATTACATACACGAGAGTCCCAAATCTAATTCTGGACTCAGAAGCCTAGCAGGCAGATACTGCTATCCCTTATCATCTAGAAGCTTTTAACTTTGTAGAAAATACATTTACATGGAAATGGTTACCTGATTAATAGCTCCCAACATCTCTGCTCTACTGGCGACTCGGGCTGCATACTGGCTAAGGAACTGCAAGCTTTTCTGCAACTTCTTAATAATCTCCTGCGCTTGGTTATCTTCTTCACACAAAAGAACTAAAGCCTAAGGGGCATATTGGCAAGAAAAACAGTGTGAACTATTAGTAGAGAAAAAAGGGTGAACCCAGCTGATGACACTGAGGGGTTGTGTTCACGCCCACACATTCGAAAGATCAGCATCCAACATCATCAGCCAATGTAACTTGATACAGACCTCCAGCGGGCAGAGACTTCTGTTTACCTAGCATAAAATCAGCTGAAGACAGGGGTTCTTGATGGATGTTTGTGCAATAGAAAAACTTCCCCACTGCCTGCGTGCACAATACACTCAGATGAAGGTTACCCCTCAAAGGCTAAGTCTCTCATATTTCAACTGCATCACTTCAGAACTTCGTTCAGATTTGCTTATAATGTATCACACACACATGCGCATCCTAAAAAGAGCTGTGTTAAGAGAGACGCTTTCACAGCCGTTCATCCCATCTACCCTACCAGCCTTGACCAATACTAACCTCTAACATCTTTAGAGCATTTGTGATCTCCTTTTTCAAATTTTCTTCAGCCAAGTCTCGGGACCTTTCTTCAAGCCTCACTCTCTTGTCCAAGGTAAACAAATCACATTTAAAACCTAATGACAACCTCAGAAATTCAGCCTGTTGTGGGAGAGGAAAAGATTTCAGAATAATCCAAGAGACGCAGAAGCTTTTAAAGTAGATTTGGGTACTGACATGACATTTGGGACTGCACCCCATGAACAAAGCTACAGGAGAGATACAGAAGAGAAAGCAACCATAGCCCACTTCCACAAAGCCAGTCTTCCCATCTGTAGTGATGGGGGAAATAATCTGCAGCCAGAATAGGTGGTATCCTGGCAGCACGCAGCGGCCATCTGCGTCTTTTGACAAAAAACTGTCTTAAATCAGCACATTCTGCCTGGGAGGAGGTCACAGCTATGCTCCTTCAAGCTTGCAAACAAGTGATTTAACAGCAACAAATCTTTTGTTCAGTTTTACAGATTGGCACCTTTTCCCGTCTCATCCTTTCCAAAATTTCCATTGCGCTTGGAAAGACAGATTTCAGAAGCCAACTTATAGAAATGCATCCAGTTTAAGCTACTCAGCATCATTCTTTTATATAGGACAAGATACTAATCAGGACTTATTGACAAGATCTTTCTGTTGTCCAAGATACTTAAGGATACAAGCAGTCGAGACTTACCTCCACTTCTTTCTCGCTAGGAGAGTCACTGTAGGATAAGAAGAAGCAATCATGTAACAGACTGCAGCTTTAGATTCATACCTGCAGGTGATCATTGAAAGTCAAAACACTTACGGCTCATTTTGCTTTGTTTTATCTGCTTTAATGCCACCTGCAGTGGGTGAACTCCCTGAGAAGAGAGAAAAAGGGTTCTCAGACAAAATGAAAAAACAGCTTGTGAAAGGCTTTTAAGCTTCAACAGAAGCCACTGTTAAAGATTGCCAGTGTTAAACTCTTGCCTTTGAAAACAATGTGTGTACCTCAGAGTGCATTAGGGTTGGTGTCAGTAAGACAGCACAGCACTGTCACTTGTATGAAGCCTCAGAAGTTAATTGTTTAGTTGGCTTCAACTGGCTTTTAATTAGTACAGAAATTATTAATTATAGGTTTTGGTTTAAGTCCCCAACCCATAGGTTCAGGACGTTACGTGACTTACTACATCACTAACTTTTAGTGAACTGCAAAAGTAAAAGGCGAGGTGATCAGAAGTGCAGAGATGTCTAAGCACAGTTCAGTAGAAACATCATCCTGCTTATCCATATCGTATTACCCCAAGCTCTAGCTAGCATAGACGATCCTGCTTTACAAATCTTTGGGGAGAGCAGGCATGCCAGAACCGTTTCAAATACCCCAACTCCTTTGCAACTCTTAAGAAATTTTCCTTCCTGTCTAGAGGAAGATGGAGCTGGTTAGATCAGTATCTGTAGAAATCAGAGAAGCAGGTTTTGCATGATAACATTCTCCTTCTCCCCACTGCTAATCCATTTTGATCTCTAACTGCAGCTACTATTCCTTAAAACAAAAACCCCTCATAATAATTGGTGTGGGGCAGGCAGCTCTCCACACCTCTTTACACAGGTCTTGACACAACAACCAAGGTTTGCACTCCAGCGAGTTACGTGAATGTGTTCAACAAAAACCTCTTACCTTTCCTACTGGGAACCACAGCTGGTGCTTCCTCACTCTGCTCTTTATTATTTTTCTTTTCCTGGTCCACCTCCTAAAGCCATATCAGAGAGAGTAGTTATAGCAAGGGAACAGCCACGATGCCACTGGAGGGGCCTCTCCCCTCCTGCAGTGCTTTTGTTTGTCACTGCTCGGCCAAGCCAGTTCTATCTTTCGTTGTCACTAGGACTCTTACCGAGTCTTGCTTTAAAACATTTTGAAATGCAGTTTTGTGTTCTTCCATCACGGGGCAGAATTCCTTCTCTGCCAGATCCGCTCCTGGGGAGAAACATTCCCAAAACCAAATGTAACGATAAAAACAAAACAAGCCTCCAACACCCAGTGTACTAGCCATGGACCAAGAGGGCTAAAAGAAATTGCAGCAAATGCCAGGAGAGGGCATTAAGAAGGAGGAGAAGCAGCAGCAAAGAACACTATAAAGACATAAAGGAAGAAGTGTGATGATGATTATGTTTGGCTTGGAAAAAAATCCCAATAAGCAGCGTTACATGTCTACAAGTGAGAATATTACTCCTGGTTGCAGTTGCTCTAGTCGAAGTTGCAGGAGTTACAGTAATATTCCTTTGGAAAAATGAATTTCATTATTTTGCTACCAGCACGTGTTCTTTTGTTTGTTTGTTTGTTTGCTATTTAAAGAGACAATTTATAATTATTTATTTGGAATTCTAAAAGCACAGGAACGTGTAAAAAAAATCCCATGCACAAACTAACAGGAGAAGCGATGAATATTTGTAATTCTCTTCTTTCATATTACAGAATATCAGATGAAGTCAAGAAATAGATGCTACTTCAGCTGCCCTTACAGAGGAGCTTGAGAACAACCAGGTCATGAAATGCATAGAGCTGTGGTATTTCAGGTGTCCATAAGCTTCAAACGTAGTCTGATACTTGGACTCTCCTTTGTACCTGAAACCTGAACTAGCGGGGTGCTGATAGAGCCAAGAAAATAGCTCTCTTTCCCAGAAGATGAGTGGTGATGAACTGCTAATGAACTGCTAAGTTCAGGAATTGATGATACCAGTTCAATAGTTTGTGTGCAACACAAACTTTGAAGTGCTACAATTTAGAAAAGCTTTAAAGCAGGCGAAAATAACCTCCAGGAAGAGGGCTATTAGAAAGATTTAAAAAGGAAAAATATTTTAAAAACTGCAGAAAGTCTGAAAGTCACACTAATTTCTTGTGTAGCCGTAACTCTGGTAGCTATTTATACCTTTCGGAACATCTAGAACTTTTTTTTTCCCTTTTCTGTTTATGTAGTCACACACACACACCCCCTCCCAGATGCAAGCCAAAGAAATGGCACAGGAAAAAAAAAAACAACCCACCTTCAGGTTTGAAGTGCTTTCTCTTTTCATCCTTCAGGTGAACGACCACCTTTGCTTAGCACTCCCTTTTGTCCCTGCTGATTTCTGCAGCAGCCCTACCTACCTGACCTGGCTCCCAAGCACCTTTAGAAGACATTGTGTGGTACTAGCCAAAACCACAAGTGGAGATTCGTCAGTGTCTCTGTTCTAATACTAGAAACACTTTCTATTAAGAGATGTACAACAGGCAGCAGGATTCTCAGACTTTAAAGCTATTTGGACTCTTTCTGATCTGTTTTGCATATCTGTTTCCTCCTTGCCAAGGGCACCTAGACCACATACGAAAATTAACAGTACAGGCAAATTAGTAGAAAGAAAATACATTTAAGTGAGGGGACCGAATTAGATTTTGGGAAGATAGTACTAAAGAAAGAAACAAAACCAAACAAGAAATGACGACAAAAAGTCTTATATATATGGTTACAAACAAGCATGCACACGTATTCTGTGCTGCTTATTCAGATCAGCTTTTTTAAAAATAGCCTAAATACCCCATGTACACATACTCCAGTTTTGTTTTACTTTTAGTTTTTAAGTGGAAGATGCACCAGCAGATCTGGTAATAATTCTTCTGGGTGTTTACGGCTATAGCGAAAGAAAAAACCATACACAAAGGCTTCTACCCTCATCTCTCCTCTTCACCCATCCCAGCTTTTTGTGCACTGAGCATCAGTTTTGAAAGCGAGGAAAGCGTTATTTAGTCTAGCTGTGTCACTAAACTTTTTAAAACCCTGAAAACATTCTCTCTCCTCCCAAAATTGCCTGGGCTTTAGTATCCACACAATGTTTTGCCAGCTGAGCAAGCATCAAGATTTCACAAAGTTATTTCATGTTTACTTCTTACAGTGCTGTAGGGTACCAGCCTCCTGCAAGCAGGTAAAGCCTTATTCCTACTCGAGTTTCAGGGAGGGTTGAGAGCACTCGCAGGCAAAAGTATGTTCAACAACAGAAAATCACCAGTTGCCATTAAGTCATTTTTCTTACTCAGCTTCCTCACTTCAAAGATGTGCTGGAAGCAAGCGGTTTTCTCACTGCACGAGTGCCAGTGCACTGCAGCAGTTACTGTACCTGATACAGGACCAGCCAGACCCTTATCGTTGTTTTTCTCTATTGCTACGGAAGTTGGCACATCTTCCTCTTCTTCACGTGAGCCCTTGGGTGATTTTTCTTCCATAACAAGGCAGCCTGTAAATTCAGGCAACAGAAGACAGAGCTCTTAGTGTTCAGTAAATGTGCAGACCTGAGCATATCTATTTCCGAGACTCTCAGTGCAAAAAGTTCACACATCTGTGCCCCAAATTAAGGGCTTACCTGTTACTGGCGCAGCGCTTTCCAACGAGGACGTAAGAACTTCTTGGGGTGAAGTTAAATGATCACTACCAAAATAAAATTCTTTCAGATACTCATTGATATTATACAGTCTTGATAAAGGCTTTTAAAAGCTTGCACAAAACCTGACCTGGATGGGATCAGACTGGCTGGTAGCGTTGGCTCTGCAGAGTCAATCTTAATGGAAAGAGAGAAGAGTTACTATCAGTGAAAAGGTTGTCGTGCAAGTAGAAAATTTCTTTGACAAAGTTTTAATAATTCCCCCAGCTGTGCCTAAATTATTTCAGCAGTGAAGAACTAGATGGTAACTACATGCAGATTCATCTGCTAGTCTAAAGCCACCCAGACATACAGTATGTAGCTTAGCACGTTATCATCATTAGGAGCGATAACTATGTGTCTGCAGAGACCTTATCTCAGGAATATCATGCTTCGAGATGGATTTTGGTTCCTGACTTCATGTTTTGCTTCTAACACACATTTTCAAATGACCTAGGTATATGTTACCACGCAACTGTTCTACCTTAATGCTGCGCATCAAGATACATCCATTTTCATGGTCTTGACCTCAAACCCCACAAGTGAGGTGCACAGAGCTTCACTCGGCTACAGATGTCAGACTCATTTAGGTGAAAAAAGCGTTACTATTAACAGCTCGACCAAGCAGATTATTCAGAACACAGAGAACTTGCAGGTTGTGTTGTACATTTTAGCCTGCGTCTTTGAAGGACACTAGTTTTCGATACTGTATATAACAGTTACCTAGCCAGTTCAGAAGGCTTCAGGCCTCCTCCTTTGTATGCAAGCAGCAGAAAGGAATTCAGCAGTTAAAGGCTGGTACACAGTTTTGCTCATGTTCCTTTAGCCACTACAGTGCGGCTCTGGACCCGAGTGTTATCACACCACAGACAAAACCAACATCCTCTTAAGTCTTTTAATATGGCAAGGGAGATACTGAATGGGAAATATCCCTCTTCCTTATTTCACCTGGATAACTCGAACTTGATTGTTCAATTGATAGATTGGTCTCTTCGTGGGTGAAAATACAGGGTGAAACAGAGGTTTAAAGGGTTAAGTTGGTCATGACTAGCGATGAACTCCACCCTCTGCTGAAGAGCTATGCTGAACAGAAAAAAAACCCCAAACTTATCTCCAAGCAGAGAAGGTAGGAGGCTAGCCAGCTTCGGGTAGCTCCCTACATGTCAAGTGTCCAAGAACACTATTGAAATGGGAGGGGACACAACAGAAAAACTGTATCAGTGAGTGATTGTCTATGTTCTGGTATCTTCCCTTCCCCCTCAAACATCCTCAGAGGATCCAGGAAACACAGAAAAGTTGAAAAGGAAGCGACCAAGGCCCCCGGTCACTTCCGAGAGCAACCGACTGCTCCCAGCATCAGCAAGTGCCTTCTCTCCCCTCTCCACTCCTCCACTCATCAACTGCGCTCACAGAGCCGTGCCCCAGCCAGACGGATGTTTCCTTTAATGCAAATCCAGGCTATTTTTATTCTCGTTTGAATTCTCTGTTAAACTTAAGGAAGCACAGCGTTGCATTTGCCTTGTTCAGGACATTAGGCCTACAGGAGTATTGGAGAGAGAGAAGGTGAAAATGAATAGCATGTTGGAATGAAAACAAAAGAAATCTAAAGGGCTTTTAAAGCAAACACACACACCCCACACATCCCCCAAACAAACAAAAGGCTTTGCATCACCTGGAACTGACTAAAGCAATACATTATTCTACGTGCCCTATCCCGCCCCAGGTAATCACATGGTCAGCGGTTTCCGTTTGCAATAAAGGGAAATCCTCAGTTCAGTTTTTAAAACCCCATGCTGGCTATTAGGATTGTGAGCTCCCCTGGATTGCACAGGGTACGCTTAAAGAGAAAAGACAGCAACAAAACCCCCCCCCCCACATTCTAGATTTTCTAGGAAAAATCTGTTTCCACAGGGCATTAGAGAATGGTTCTTCATCCTAATAAAAGGATTGCGTCAAAGAAGATCCTGCAGTACAATCCCAATTACTTTTCCCCCTTCCATCCCTTCGATTAGCATAATAATCCAAGGATCCTCTATCAGAGCAGACAAGTTCTGGCCACAGTCTTGTATAACTCCTCCCAAACAAGCATTAACACTTGGAAGGCCTATCATCTGGTTTTTAGACTGTAGTACAACTTTCACATTTATAAATCAAAACAAATATGAAAAGCCCAAGCTTCATCTGGCTCTCACAAGAGCTCCTTTATTAAATAGCCCCTAAACTCCTACAAAATAAATTGAGTTACTTACATGCTGAAGGGCTTGATCTGCTCAAACACATCTGCAACCGAAGTGTAATTAAAAAGAAAGACCCTAGGGAGACTTTTCCTATTAAACAAGGATATTCAAATTTTGCTGCACGTCACAGTTTTTAGAACAGATACTGGACACAGCCCTTTTCCCTTTTCTCTGGGGCAAGCTTTAACGTTTTAATTTCCCCCCTCTAGAATATTCACATGGAACATTTATATATAAAAAAAAAAATGGAAAGTGACATTTCTGAGCCCAGCTGGAATGACAGAAAGCTCCAAAGCGATGAAGCACAGACATTTCAAACAACTTTGCAAGGCTGTGACTTTCTAGAAGGACTGGATAAAGCAAGAGCCTTTGAGATTATCTTCTTTAAGGTAGCTTAAGTAGTAGCAGCACAAGCTAGGAGTTCCTCACCTGCTCTACCCCAAGCGAGCAGTGTGCTGAAGCCACAGGCAGTCCCCATCACTCTTGCTTTTTACCCTCACTGCACTTTCTGCCTTGATTTGCCGCTACAGCCGGACCACTGCCGCACTTGCAGGTACCACACGCCAGCCAGGGTAGGTCTGAGGTTGCCTGTCACTAGTCTTACAAAGGTTATTCCCAGGTTCACAGAAACCACTGACAAATATTCTTCCATCATCAACCACCAACACCAATATCGGCGCTTATAAAGCTAATTAGAAGCCCTGTGCGGCAGGGCTGAGGTCTAGATTTCAATGGAGAGTATTGTGGCACTGAGCACAGCTAGGTATGCTGAGCTGCTGCTCAGCTTGTTGCTGCCATAAGAAAGCTGACTGACAGCTCAAGCTGTAGATGCAGGAGTCAATACAGCAGTGAAGGCATAACTGAGCACATCAGCTGAAAGTTTTCATACAGCAAAGATGTCGTTTTTCAGCTGTTACATGGTAACCGTGGGAGAAAGTGCAGAGAAAGGCAGCATTCACAACATCCTGTGGCTTCTCGCAGGTGGATAAGAAGAGCAAAATCACTCAGACTTCCCTGACAGAACTGAGTATTACTGCAGAAACAGCACCGTCTCAAGCCTTGAAACCACATTTAAAGTACGCCCCAGCTAAAAGCATGACCCAGATGCACGTGAACATCAAGACATTTGGCTCTAAAACCAGTATTCCAGAAGCGTACCCAAATAGAAGGTACAGAGAACAAGATGTCACGGCACCCTGCTGACGGGTGCCAGCTCCATTCACCTTGGAGCAGGGCTGATTTTTAGCTGCTCAGTCTGGATCTGGGTCTGTGTAAGGCACTACATGCTTGAACCCATTCAAACCCACATCTCGGGCATTAGAGACGGCACTCACCTCAGTAAATGAAGAGTCCATCATTGTAATGGAAACAGGAAGGTCTGCATCAGTACAGTTACCAGCAGAGCGTATTTTCCACCTGGCAATACACGTTTTATTTGCATGTTGCCCAAACAACAGTGAGATATATTGCCCATTTTCCTTAAGCACATAACAACTGAAGTCACCACTATCTGTATAGTCAGACAGCTGGTCTCTCAGAGAAAGAGAAATTCATCACTAACATCAATCCCTCCTCCCCCGAATAGCAAGAACCACCACCAGTCCTTCTCCCAACCTCCTCCACACTGCACAGCTCTGCAGAAAGCCAGTGGCAAAAGCTTCGAGAGCTGCGAGTCTTTTGCTGCAGACTGCCTGCCTCTGCCTCTTCAGGAACATCCTTATCCTTTAAAATATTCACCGACAATAGTTAGCTAGCTTTCATAATCTTAAGCAGTTCAATCTGTATTTTAAAGATCTAGGGAGGCAGCTTGATAAGCAAAGACCTCAGCACTCTTGCTCTAAACTCTGCAAAAAAAAAAAAAAAAGTGACTCCTCAAAGCCAATAGGATTTTTGGCTTCTAAATGGGAGGTGTCAGTTGTGAGTTAAATACTGAAAATATACACAAGAACGCCTGCATCATGCCTTAGCTCTCCAGCATGAAACGGAAACACCATCACTGTATTTGGCTGGTGGTCATACCAACAGTTTCAGTAAAGAGTTTTAATATTACTTTTGCGAACAGAAGCAAGTGTTACCCCGTAACACCATTAGCTGACCACCGAGTGTCCAGTATTTCCTGTAAGAGATGCCCTGGTGTTGAACTCAGCATGCGCTGGGGATACAGCTTTCCCTTGGACTCTGCTAGATCCCACGGACTCTTCCACGCTTCACCCCGAAGGGGTTATTCTGCCATCTTACTTGCGCCCCACTGACGTCACATCTGAAATGGATACGTGTCCCAGGTCGCAGCTTTCAAACGTGCAGTTGCCAGAGCTCTGCCTACAAGGCCGATCCCAGCCGTGCACAGGAAAGTTATTTGGGCATGAGGTTTCCAAGGTCAGAGCATCTGTTAGAGAGACAAGTGTGAAGAGTGATGGTTATTGGCAAAGTTGGGTTCAGTCACATGCCAATTTTTGACTAAGCCTAAAATAATCAAGAAGCAGACCAACCAAATACAGATATATAATAAGGCAGCTTCCATCTTGGTATGAAAGGGTTAGGTTATGTGTCCTTAACGTATTTGGTAGATGGAGAGTCTGC